TATATTGAAGCTCTTTGTATCTAGATATTTGTATCTAGCAGTATGAAACCATACATGTATCAGTATTTTGTGTTTTTATTTACTAACTTTGTACATCAAATGGTGCTTTTGTGGGGAATACAGTATGTGCATGATGTCATTTGTAGGAAGAACACATTTCAACTAATGTGGAACACAGATGGCATTGTAGTTACTGTCTTCTCTGATAGTGTTTGGATAAAATTTCAATGAGGGGCTTGACACTTCATTTTTATCAAAGATAGGGCATGGCTAGTGCCCACTCATTGCCCTACTTAATCCCTCCCTTTCAATTTCAAGTAAGAAAATTAAAAAAAAAAAAATCAATTTTCAATTTTCTCTACAGACCTACTAGGTCATTGTGATGAATCACAATATTTGAGAAAAACTATTAATAACAATTTTACCAATGACCAGTCCCATATTTTACTGATTAGAATTCCTTTTTCTGATTTTATCAACAATCTTAGCAGAAAATGGGGGTGCACAGCAGATCGGCCCCCTGCGCCACACACAAGGTACACCCTGAGTTAAGCCATACTGTACTTCAGGCACCCTTGGCTTAAAATTCAGTATTTTTTGTGCATTTCTCTTTTCACATGCTTTTTTCTTTGCAAAATTATCCCACATTTATAACACAGTACGCAGCTGAAGTAATTTAATTTAACTTTTTCAAAGAATAATAATTAATTACAATAAATTATTTTAAAATCTAAACTGTTCTAATAACTTTGTTGCCCCACTGGCTATGACTAATTTGCTCTCTGCTGTTCAGTATCTTGAAACTTCTAGGGGTACTCTTACTAGGGGGTACTACTGGTCCTGGCCAGTACACCACTACTCCTACTATTTGAACCTCCAAAGACCTTGTGTTTCATTCTTGTCCACATTAAAGTTTCAACCTAAATAAGAAAAGTGAGTAATGTTTAAATATATTGTCATAGTTAGCTAGTCTATCATTGGGTCATTCCAGAAAACATCCATACCACCCCCACAGAGGAATTAGGAAGTTATTACCCCCTACCCCCTTAGGATATCCTAATACATTTACCATTATCAGAAACAATTTTTCTTCCTTCCCCCTCTGGATGGCAGAAATTTCCTCTGTGGGGGGAGTATGGATCTTTTCTGGAATTACCCATTGTGAGGATTATTAAGACAGAATATCAGACCCCTCACTACAGAGGATATTGCTGTCATCTCAAGAGGGAAGCAGGACAAACCCCTCTATCATAGTAAAATGTTTGAGGACATATATTAAACAACTGAAGGAGAAAGGTGTTGACTTGTATTCCTCTTTTTGGGAGGTGTGAATGTATTGTGGAATTACCCATGAATGCTTGGTCTTTGTGTTGAGGGTATCAACAAAACATTTGCTTGTATTGCAGAGATGGTATATGCACAAAATAGTGATTTATTGCAGCAAAAAGTTGCCCCATGGCCATTACAACTCAAGCTGCTGTCAAAAGTGCCATATACAAATTGGTTGTGCACACCTCCTACACCACACATATACATGACTAACTGCAGTATTGCACAGTAGGCAACTGCTGTTTAATACAAAATCTGGCAAAGACTAGCAGTTTAATAATATAAAGTTAAGATGGTCACAGGAAACATATTTATTAATATTATATAAAATATTAAAATCCAGAGCTTACTAAATGCTTACAATGCTTATTGTAAGTGTAAGGGTTTTAATAAATAGTATATAGAAGGACACAAAATATTTAAAACTACTGTAACTGGCAATAAAAACCGAGAGTAAAAACACAAAAGCCAGAGCTTGAAACAAAAGCAAAATTTCATACACACAAATTTTTTTAGCCATCTGAAAAGTTTTTAAAAAAATCTTACCTGAAGAAAATACTCTACTCTTCGTTTATAGCGTATTGCAGCATCCACAAGGAAGGCATTTTTTCCTCGACTTTGTAAAACAAGCAAAGTAGGAGAAAAATATTTTTAGCTGGAAACAAAAACATTTTTTATCGAAAATCCAGGGGGGTGAAAGACACCGTCAAAAGCAGAGGATCGCGGTTTGTCAGTGGTAAATACCATTGCCAAAAGGAACCAGATGGCGTAAGCAAACGTGAAAATCCGCCATGTTTTTGGCGACACTTTTTTGACTGGCGGAAGATAGGAGCACCTCCTCCAGTAATATTATAGCTCAGTGGTTTCGGTGGGTGGTCATCCTCACTGATCTCAAAAATATGGCGGACTGTCATGAATAGCGAACACTGATTGGTCAAATTTAAAATTTGTTGTTGTACGACGAATGACGACTTCAACTGACAGATACGTCATGAAAATATTTTGCTTTTTGCACTGCAATATTTTGTACGTTTGCAAAAAACTTTGACAGCTTTCAAAGCAATTTGTTCTATAAAAAGTTTAATAAAACAATTACGGTATCAAATACCAATTGAAAAGATATGGACTACTGTATGGAGCCAAATGAAGAGCGGCAAGGAAACGACAAGAAAGCCGAACGTCTAGCGAAAAGGAGGGAGCTAGCGAAGACGACAACGTTTGCTCGAGGAGACTGCTGAGGAAAGAGAAGCTCGCCTGGGAAAGCGTAGAGAAGCATGGAAAAAAAGACTGCTGAAGCGAAAGGTAAGCAAAGGCTTGTCTTCACAACGCTATGTACCAATGATACTGTAGCTATATATACAAGTTGAAGTATGATATTCGACCCTCTATATTCGACTATCTATTTCTTCACAATTTTCCAATAAAGAGTTTGTCATGACACGCTCAAGTCAGTATAACCAGACTGTATTTTATTTATATCAGTTATCACAGCCACAGGCAATTTTATGCTGTCAAATACCGTCGGTTGCAACTAAGGGTGAACAGTTGCAGATAAAACATTCTCTATTCTCATTAAGGGGGGGGGGGTACACATGGAATCATTTGAAAAAATGGATTTTCATTTTTTGAGCTAAATAGTTACTGTGGCATGTAATTGGTGTTGTGAAAGTATTTATTTGCTTAAATTTAAAAAATTGTTCTGTCAGGAGCTGTTTTTAACCACCTCACTATAATTTTCAGCTTGGTTGCCATGGTAACGAAAGGCATAATCCTTCATATTTTTCATGTTTTTACCAATATACTGCTGTCCCTCCCCTCCCTAATATAAAATAAAGATACAGGCTCATCTCTAGATGATTTTGCAGCGGATTTACGTGGTGATTATGCGCATAGATGCGTTTTTTTGAGAACTAGTGATTGAAACAGAACAAACTCGAAAATGTGTTTCAATATTTAATAAATATTGATCACTTTTGTGTATATATTTCTTAACATATGGGTAAAAATAACTAATAATGGTTCACAGAAAACATTAAAACGAAACTTTATTCACTGGGATGAAGAAATGCGCTATAAAGACGACGATAAAACGTGAACACATTCAGGCAATAATCGGGCATTATTTCAATGGGCATTCAATGCCAAATATCAACAGTCATCTTCGATTTGGATTCTTTGGCATCTTATAAACAGATCTTCAAACGTTTGTTCTGATGAACTTAAAAGTTGTGGATGTAAGTATTTTTCTATCATTGAATGATTGATTCTAGTATACAATAACTCAAAAATGTTAATTAATAATATAATTAGTAATTATTGCAAATTTGCAATATTATGAGATCAAGAGATCGATTTTCTCTACCCAATTTTGGTACAGATATCAATACATTATTTCTTGCTTCATTGTTATAATTTTAATGCTTCTTGGTATTAATATTAATGAGGTTGTTTCTGTACTGCATTTTAGGTACTGTAATTACATGTCAAGGTGTACCAAGTTTGAGAGCTTGTTTTGGGCCGAATATGTTTTCCGAGTGTACCGCTTGCAGCAATAGCACAAGAATACAGTTACAGACAATGTTATCTTACAAAATCATGTAATTTGGTATTGAAAATTGATTCACGTATACAAAAAACTGTGGTAAATGTTGGTCTGCATGTTCCATTGGTAAGCACGATGAGTGGAGTGTGCATCTTTAAACATCCTTGTTACCAGCAAGAGGGTTCGGCAAAGAAAACTATGGAAAATTTAGCTATACCAATAGAGTCATTTAAGTTAACACACAGGAACATCTTTTAAACCAAACATCAAACTGCAGGAAAAACTAAGTTTGCTCTTAAAAGACAAGAAACAGGTCAGAAAGTCTAACTGCCAGACATCTGAAAAAACAACAGACGTCGACAGGTGCAGCAGCTCCAAAAGAAAACCGAGAGACGAAGCTCTATGAGGAGCAGAAGGGACAACCTATGAGGCTGGAGGCTTCTGAAGTGCTAAAAGTACTTCTAATGACAAAAAATTAGGCTAAAGTCCCTGAAACCTGTCAGGAACAGCTCGAGCAGTTGTTTAAGAACTTTAACACTTGTTTTCTCGGAATGTACATTTTCCGTCTTTGAGAAAAGATATCTCATGATGTATTTAACCAATTGTCCTGAAATTTTCAGGGCTTATTCTTTTATTACAGCTGTCTTAATTAAGCATAGGAAATTTCTGTATCTTGTGTGGAATACATTTTATGACAAAAAATATTATCGAAAAAACCTATGTTAACTTTACCTCTGCTGTGACCACTGGATTTATCATACAAAAAAGTTCTATGCTCATTTAAGATAATGATGCTTATACTACTTACTGATAAAATTTCTTAAAATTCCAAGCAATTTATAAGCAGATATCTTTTCTCAAATTCACCCTAGTTTTGCACAGCATGTGGTGTGATTGCCGGCCTGGTGTCAGGTTACAATGGACGTTAGGTACTAGTGATTAGTATTTTTAGTTTCTATAGGTCATAAGCTTTCTACTGATATATAGTTTGTCATAACTCTGGTGAATATCTTTAAAATTACAGCCATTTCAAAAATGGCCATCAATCCATGTGTACCCCCCCCCTTAAAAGGCCTGTAAAAGTTTCCAGTAAGTCTCTAGCCCAACACGTTCAGACCACACAAAGTTTTGTTACTTATTATTGTCCACTGTACACATGGGAAACAACAATTAAGTGTTGTTGTTCTTGACAAACATTGAAGATTCTAATCACGCGAATGTTTTTATGAGCAACTGTTCATCGTTAGTTGCAAGCGACGGTACAAACATTTTTCCGACTGTGACCGAATGTGCAACGATATATTTTTCAAAGTTGTTGTCAATTCCTAAAATTTGTTTATAGTAAAACGGCCTGCTCAGCACTCACTACTCGCGATGATTTCATTTAGAAATGCAGTTACCAGGAAAGGAACTGATTCTAAAATATGTAAATTTAAAAGCATTGGCTAACAGAATAAAGCGATGTGAAGACAAGGTACAAACTTTTATAGTTGCTATTTGTTATAAAATCCTATAAATAAACCATTCAACAATAATTTTGCCTCCAATTTGCATATTCTATGCTGCATGTTTATATTTTATTTTTATAGTATAAAAATAAAATTGTAATACTATGAAATAAAATACATTTCTATTTATTGACCAGTACTTATTTAATGTCTTCTTCATCCAGTGGTCAGAGTAAATTTCTACTTCTAGCAAGTAAATATTTGACAAGCAGTCTGGAATAAGCACAGGAATAAGCACAATGAGCCATTTTATAGTAGCAATATGAAAAGTTATAGTAGTAATGCATCAGCCAAATCCAAGTGTGCCCATCCCCCTCGCCCAGCCATTTTCCTGTAAAGCACATCCCGGGGGTTGGGTATTTCCACTCGAACCTTAGCCCCGGCGGGGCATTTGAAATTAATAATTTCGATTCTTGCACTTCACTTGGGGGAATTAATATTAGAATGTTAGGGTTTGTAATCCAAGTGAGAATATATACATGTATATATTTTGTAATCCAAGTGAGAATATTTTGTAATCCAAGTGAAAATATACAAATGTATAGTACATGTATATATTTTGTGTATATATTTTGTAATCCAAATGAGAATAGTTTGTAATCCAAGTGAGAATATGCAAATGTATATATTCTCACTTGGATTACAAACCCTAACATTCTAATTTTAATTCCACCAAGTGAAGTGCAAGAATCAAAATTATTGAAGTCCACCTTATCACAACCCGCACACCCGATTACCTAAATATACATGAACTTATGGTTAAAGCTCGACAGCTGGCCTCTGTAGCTCAGTTGGTTAGAGCGCTGCACCGGAATCGCAGGGCCGTAGGTCCAATTCCTACCAGAGGACCTTGTGCTGCATTTTTCGCAGTCGTTCCTGGTTAGGTCTTAAAATGTATATATATTCTCACTTGGATTACAAACCCTAACATTCTAATATTAAGTCCACCAAGTGAAGTGCAAGAATCCAAATTATTGAAGTCCACCTTATCATAACCCGCACACCCGATTACTTAAATATACATGAACTTACGGTTAAAGCTCAACAGCTGGCCTCTGTAGCTCAGTTGGTTAGAGTGCTGCACCGGAATCGCAGGGCAGTAGGTTCAATCCCTACCAGAGGACCTTGTGCTGCATTTTTTGCAGTCGTTCCTGGTTAGGTCTTAAAATGTATATATTCTCACTTGGATTACAAACCCTAACATTCTAATATTAAGTCCACCAAGTGAAGTGCAAGAATCCAAATTATTGAAGTCCACCTTATAACCCGCACACCCGATTACTTAAATATACATGAACTTACGGTTAAAGCTCAACAGCTGGCCTCTGTAGCTCAGTTGGTTAGAGCCCTGCACCGGAATCGCAGGGCAGTAGGTTCAATTCCTACCAGAGGACCTTGTGCTGCATTTTTCGCAGTCGTTCCTGGTTAGGTCTGAAAATGTATATATTCTCGCTTGGATTACAAACCCTAACATTCTAATATTAAGTCCACCAAGTGAAGTGCAAGAATCCAAATTATTGAAGTCCACCTTATCATAACCCACACACCCGATTACTTAAATATGCATGAACTTACGGTTAAAGCTCAACAGCTGGCCTCTGTAGCTCAGTTGGTTAGAGCGCTGCACCGGAATCGCAGGGCCGTAGGTTCAATTCCTACCAGAGGACCATGTGCTGCATTTTTCACAGTCGTTCCTGGTTAGGTCTTAAAATGTATATATTCTCACTTGGATTACAAACCCTAACATTCTAATATTAATTCCACCCAGTGAAGTGCAAGAATCCAAATTATTGAAGTCCACCTTATCACAACCCGCACACCCGATTACCTAAATATACATGAACTTACGGTTAAAGCTCAACAGCTGGCCTCTGTAGCTCAGTTGGTTAGAGCGCTGCACCGGAATCGCAGGGCCGTAGGTTCAATTCCTACCAGAGGACCTTGTGCTGCATTTTTCGCAGTCGTTACTGGTTAGGTCTTAAAATGTATATATTCTCACTTGGATTACAAACCCTAACATCCTAATATTAATTTCACCAAGTGAAGTGCAATAATCTAAGACATTCATGTCCACCTTATCATAACCCGCACACCCGATTACTTAAATATACATGAACTTACGGTTAAAGCTCAACAGCTGGCCTCTGTAGCTCAGTTGGTTAGAGCGCTGCACCGGAATCGCAGGGCCGTAGGTTCAATTTCTACCAGAGGACCTTGTGCTGCATTTTTCGCAGTCGATCCTGGTTAGGTCTTAAAATGTATATATTCTCACTTGGATTACAAAACCTAACATTCTAATATTAAGCCCACCAAGTGAAGTGCAAGAATCCAAATTATTGAAGTCCACCTTATCATAACCCGCACACCCGATGACTTAAATATACATGAACTTACGGTTAAAGCTCAACAGCTGGCCTCTGTAGCTCAGTTGGTTAGAGCGCTGCACCGGAATCACAGAGCAGTACGTTCACTTCCTTCCATAGGACCTTGTGCTGCATTTTTCGCAGTCGTTCCTGGTTAGGTCTTAAAATGTATATATTCTCACTTGGATTACAAACCCTAACATTCTAAAATTAAGTCCACCAAGTGAAGTGCAAGAATCCAAATTATTGAAGTCCACCTTATCATAACCCGCACACCCGATTACTTAAATATACATGAACTTACGGTTAAAGCTCAACAGCTGGCCTCTGTAGCTCAGTTGGTTAGAGTGCTGCACCGGAATCGCAGGGCCGTAGGTTCAATTCCTACCAGAGGACCTTGTGCTGCATTTTTCGCAGTCGTTCCTGGTTGGGTCTTAAAATGTATATATTCTCACTTGGATTACAAACCCTAACA